GCCGACTATGTCGGACTAAACCAGAGGAGTACAATCAGTCCAGTTATTCCTGAGGAATGACCTTATAACCTTCTTCGCGATCAAAATGACCCTGGACCGAACCACTTGATGCTCGGGGTCTACAGCATCTGGGGAAAGAAGAGTCTGGTCGTATATCTGCTCGGACCCTTGGAGAGCCCTTCCAATTTGGTCGGGACATGCAGAGGGTCTCCCTGAAACAGTCCGCCCAACTACCTTATGACCATGAGACTACAAGTAGGTGTATCGTAATGTTAAAGGACGCATTTCTGCTGGACAGATATATATCGCAATGTGAAGTCGGAGATTGAAATTTCTACAGTGTAAAAATGGAATTTGACAAGCAGTCGAGCATTGTGTGTGCTGCGCTTTTCATGCGAGTATAGCGGGTTGAGATGGAATTTGAGTCGGTCAAAGAATTTCATGAGAACGATATAGCGCCCCCAAGAGGTACGAAGAAGGAAGAATGTTAGAAGAGGTTGGAAAAGGGTAGAAGGAAGAAGTTCAGTGAAAAAGGAGACGTCTAGTGATGTGTGAGGAGCCTCCCCCTCTTCAAGAGGGGGATTCAAGATTGTGAAACTGCGAAAGGGGTTGTTGTTGTCAGGACCGGGGCACAAGGCACGAAAGCGGTTGCCGGGTTCAGAAGGTTTTCAAGGTAAATTCGATGGAATAAAGAAATACGTGAGGAAAAGAGAGGAAAAGGTCGGAGGAACAAGGATAGCTGTTTACAGGAAAAAACGTTGTTAGGAGAAAGACAAAAGGTGGCAGGACACCCGGATTACACTGGATGCGTTAAATCTTGTCCGTTCGGCCGAGAATACTTCAGACTGGCTCCTGATAATACAGTGGTGGAGAAAACGTCGAAATTCCACGTGCTTTTTTGCCATTCCCTTCAGGTGCTTTCTTCCCCGTTTCTTCCTCTTTGTTTTTCTCACTTTCTTACTCTCTCCTATATCCGGCCAATTTATCCCGTCGACCGGGAAAAGACGTCTTATTAGAGATGTAAAAAAAGACGCGTAAAAGCTCTCGAGGATGGATGAGAAAAAAGGAGGGGAAGACACAGTGTGAGAGAGAGAGAGAGGGGGGGAGAGGAGAGAAACGAGAGTCTCTCTCATAAAAAGGTCCTTTGCGTGCCAGCTTAATGAAGGAGCAACAACATTGAAAGTGAAGAGATAAATCCAGGATGCCCAGTGATATTCTGAAATGGGCCACCCATGTCTGTCGTAGCTAATAAAATTTCTTATTTACTTTTTATACTTGCTTTTCTCTTTGGGCACGACCGCAAGAAAGACGCGAGAGTGTCTTATGCAACCGCCAACGCGATAAGAGCATGCGTACGCACGTGGGTGGCGTTGACGTTTCACGTGGTCGAAAATACCTGCGTATCCCAAAATTCTCAAGCAAACCAATCTGAACGGATCCCGCTGAGTTTAATACGACCAATCAAATTCCGTATACAGATGACACATTAACATTTTCAAATTATTTACCACTTTCGATTTGAAAATTTCTGTATTCGTGAATAAAATTTTTTTTACAAATGCGAATCCGTCAAACGCTACCCGCATTAGTTAAGACTCGTTGTGCCTTAAGGCAAACCTGTTTGTCCCTATTTCTCTTTTATGTCTCAACCGGTGAAACCGACGTAAACGCCTTTCATCAACGAGAGATTTGAGGCTATTCGATGAAATTATTTGAAATTGCTCGTTAAAAATATTGCTAGTTTGTAATTGTTGTTATTATTATTCAATTCAGTGTTATATTTATGGGCAGCCGACGACTTTCTTTATTATCAGTTTCGTCGGAGGAGGATAACCTGTACACCCTCTTAACTCTATACACGCATACGCGCAGTCCAGAGGTACATATAAGGTATTATTACATAGGTGGGCGTAAGGACTGGAACCTGAATAAGGGTGCGTCCATACACGACTATGAAATCCCAGAGCGTATCTCGACCGCCACTCGCCGGTAATAACTCGAAATTAAATTGCTTCGCATAACAGCCCCCTCTCTAAGTATAACAATCAGCCCGAGGACTTTGGGGAGGTTACATTTTCAAGCCCCGATGCCGCACCCCGGCCACCCTTATAAGACTCAACGACGTTCAGGCCCATTTCTCTCCCTTCCTTCGACCCCTCCTCACCGCCTTCCTCTTGACGTCACAGATGGCTACATCAGTCGTTCGCAAGCATCCCTTATAGTCACGACCATCCCTTAAAAATCATCCTAGCCAAGAAGACGTCAAGGATTCCCCATTAAACCCCTGGGTCGTTTTTTCTTTTTCTGTCTCTCTCCCGCCCCCTCTATCCTTTTCGCTCTTACCACGCGGAAGTAAAATTTGACTGATTCGAAGAAAAACCAAAAAATAACCAAACAGCCCCCGCAGTCTCCATTTTTATCCTACGACGATGTAACCGCTCAGAAATATTCTCATCCCTCACGCCTGGTACGACGGGCAGCACATAACTATATGGTAAATACATCCCTTAACTTTGAATGAACTTAATTTTTAAACTAACCACTCAGACCTTTTCTCGAGAAAACACCAGAGGCTCTCATAACTTCCTTTCTGGTTAAAAATAATTACACTACCTTCATCCACCCTTAGTTCTTAACAGGATATTATTTTCGTCCTTATTACAAATACTTCAAATGCCTTTGACAATCTTTAGCATACAATTTGGTACACAGGTACTCGTTACACCCTAACACGGAAGTGTAGTCGTTAATGACTGGATCGGCCATTGTTTTTTTCATTTTTCATTTTAACTGTCCATAGACCGCTTGGGCATGATAGTAGACAGAGAAAATCTCTAAGTCCCTCGTCTTCCCAAAATCTTTCCTCATTTCCCTCAAATGACCCCTTCACACATGTTTGATTGAGATCTGAACTTGGTCCAGATTAAGCGAACACCCTGTTCCGATAAGGACCCCCACTCGATATAAAGGTACAAGATCCCCATTAATGACACTTGGAGTCTCGTTGAAGGTCCCGGAAGGGTGTCGCTCTCAACCCTTGAACACAACCCTCTGAAGCGCTTGCGAATATCCAACACTACTGGCCCCAGTTTGAAATTTTTGTATAAACCTAATGACCCCACAAGCAACCCTTAATGCCTTCCGATTTAGCGGGTCTCCTCCTCGTCATTGGTGCTACAGGGTCGTCAGCCCTTCGGTCCCCCTTTAAAATTCACTCTCCCAAGTACATGGGATTGATCTGTATGCAAAACTGGTATATGTATAAAATTTCATATCCCTTCGTCAAGTTGATTCTTCTCTATAGTAACAAGATCCCTTCTTTCACTCACCAAACAGTAATTGGATCACGTAGAAGGATGCTGCAGTCCTCCGCCATGTTTACTGGGGTGCAATCTAAAACAGAAAATAAAAAATAATTTTATAGCTTACAGCAGCAGGTAACGAAGATAAAGGAAAGCCAAAGTGTATCTTAGGTTAAGAGCCACAGGGATACCTTTCCAGAATACATTGTTGAACCAAACGTAAAGTTCTTCAAGATTCAAAGACGAGGAATCCCGAGTATACACGAGATAGCACGAAGTCAAACGAATAAGAATACACAATGGCAACGTGTGGGATATGTGAATTCCGCATACCGTGGAGATCCGTAAATTTTCAAAACAATTATAGGGCGCTCTAAAACGAACGACCGATGTTCCTAGAGGTTTGTTTTCAGGGTGTTAGACATTAAGGAAATATATTCAGAGTGAAAGGATGGCTACTTCCCATATATACATATATATATCTAAAGACGAGAAGAATCCAACGGTAACAAAGCGTTAACGAGGGGATAGAGGGAATATGTTAAGACAGCTGGGTTAACACGTTGGTTTCATCAACGAGCCTCAACAGCCTCCGTATATCTGATATACAGTCAGCAGAGGTAAAATTTCAAAGTAAAATTTTATAAAATAACAAACTACAAACGTAAGAACGATTTCATCCGTTTACACCCTCGCCTTAAGTGTTACTCTACGGATATACAGAGCTGCCGGTATTACGTAAATGCCTATACCCATATAGAGATAATTCACCCATCCCAGAAATTAATTGCTCCCGTTAACACGAACGGCCTATCTCGTCTATCCAGAAAGGGAAATAGGGCCATCCTTAAGGCGGCTCCGTAGATTGCTACACTTTCCCAATGCTGGCGCCGGTATCAATTATCTTCATAAAATTCCAAAATGGGGTATTCCAAAATGTCAGTCCCATTCGTGACTGCGAGTAAACGATTAGCCAACGCTCAGGGCCTTTCGAATCGGCAGTTGGCAGCAATGGCTGATACGTATTTCGTTTTCCCGTTAGACGTAATGGAAGCAGGCAGTATAGTAGATACGTCCATTCAGGCGCAGATAGACGCGAGAACTCCAGGGAATAGGACAGCTTTCAGGGGGTTTTTAACGTGCTTTAAGAGAAATAGGTGAAAGGGTAGGTGTGTACCAGTGAGCAAAGGGGATAGGAATGAAGTAAAAGGAAAGAAGATGAGCGGGAAGAAAAGAAAAAAGAAAAATGACCTAACGAGTTTTTAGCGAACAATTTCGAAAGAGAGTCTCTCCACCAACATTGGCAGCCCTGGTACTCTTCTTCCTTGTCACATAAAGCAGAGAAATGTTTAACTGGCCAATGTTTACGTACTACATTATTTCCATACAACTCCCCATGGCTTTAACTAGTCTAACTTAATATCTAGGGAATATTCTGCGTTTTACTGTTGCACATCATGCATCCCTTACTGCATTTCCTCCCTTGGATGCTACACTGACTGGCTGTGAATAACAAGTGGCTTGATGCTTGTGCATTATTCTCATAATCCTCAGAGTACTTGCGCAGTGCAACGAAAACACTTGTAGGTACTACTCCAAGGTTCCTTGATGTACTACCGTTATATAATACAGCAAGTATTCCCATCGAGCGACGCAATAAGAAGTCGGTGAGGACAGAGATGAATTATTGGACAAGCATTAAGTTTGAAGTATTTATCAGTGGTACTTGGCTATGGCTGTACCAGGCTACTTGTGTACTCTGTAATCAGAACGTAGTTTAACAACTTCCCGTCACTGTTGGTTGTCGTATTGAACTTATGAGAAACTTTCCACTTAACAATTCAGAATAATTGTAATTCGCCATGACAAGATTTGCCTGCATGCTCAAGCAGCGCGAGGACTTCCTAAGCTTGTAAACTTCTCTAAGCTCGTATCCACTCTGTGAGAAATGTCAGCGTGCTCTTTGATCCCCATAGAGACAAAGCCAACCAATCATGATTGACTGACAGATTGATATAGATTTTGAAATAGAAGGTCAAAGGTCGCTACATCAAATGACACAACGAATGTCCGCAGTGACAGTTTGATAAATATTAATAAAAATTAAAGCAATAATATTACTAGCGTTTACCGAGGCTTTACAATTCATTATAAACTCATCTAACTCATTATTTTAATATACTTTTACTGACTAACATTGATTCTGGACCAGAAATGCGTATAAGAGTAGGTTAAAGACTGACAGTACTGAACTACTGCTTAAAAGTGATGGAACAGAGATGCTTCGTGTAAATGTCTTATAATTTTCAGGGCTGAGAATTGGAGCGAAATAACGTTTAATCTTGGAATATGTCATTGCGGTAAAGAAGCTTGCAAGCTCCGTCGTAAGGAGTCTCTATATTGCGGGAAGCCGATTATTATTGCATGTTTCTGCATAAGTGCACTAAGGCGATCTCATTGGAAAGCAATGCACAGATTTATATCTATATACACTGCTTGATCTATGAATTTATCTGGCAAGTATACGCAAAACGGAATCTGTCTAGAATGAATTGACCATCTTGAGGTAGTCTTTGTCGCATGAGACGAATATAAGCAGGTCAGTGTTAGGATGCTCTGGATGTAGAAAAAGGAGGAAGTGCAAGTTCAGGACGTCCCAGGACGACGGCGAATGCTGTCTTCCCTTTCATCAGTTTTCACTTATCGCACCAGGACTTGGATGAAGCATTGCCGTTACTGCTGTTAGCAAAAGCGACGAAGGGAGCATTGGCATGAACAGGATCTTCCTGTGAAAACGAACCTTGATATATTATCTGTGATAAGAAATGCATGAAAGGGTATCCAAAAAAGACTTACAGGAGAATGCTCAATAGACACTTGACGACTCAGAGTTTATATGGTGCTGAGCCTGGAGGATGAGAAATAACGGAAACTGCGTATGGAGTTCTTCCTGAAAAATTTTAGTCCTGGTTAGGGGTATTCTGCTGAATTGAATCAGTAGGAAATTTCCCACAAGGACTTTTCGAACAGTCCTTGGGAATTTGTCCTTATTGAATGCGGCTTCCTTTCTTTATTTGTTCCTGGCACATTGCTTTGGATTATATGAGATACAATGGACTGCGAAATTCAACATGAAGACGGACTGAAAGGATGGGGAGTCAAAGATGAACTCCACCACTGAAAGAAGTCAAACATCAGACACGATCAAGGATGAGAGGTTGACTGATAAAAATTATATTGGCTCCAAGGGTGATGCCGATGAGGATCTAGGGGATCTTTTGAAAAATATGGAAGAAGAGGAGAAGGAGGAGGAGGAGGAGAAGGGGAAAGAAATGTTTCCTTAAAATTTTCCCAGGACACGTTCCACCTATAGTTGATAGTTCAGTTCAGAAATCTTATTAAATTTGTTCAAAAATTCATTTTCAAAACTCCAATTCTGAACTTTATGTAACTTCACAGTAAATCACGCGACTCAAAGAACAAATGAAAAATTATTTCCTGAAAAAAAAAAAAATTCTGTTAATATTCATACTTTTTGAAAAGTTTCTACAGCCAACCTCAGACGCGTCGATAAAAATTATACGAAAGCATATTGACCATAGGATATATAATATCGTAAAGTGCCTTGAGAGTGAGCAAAGAGTATAGAGAGTAATAATAAGCAGAACGAAGAGGAGTGACGAAAGGAGGACGTGTGTGAACCTAGCATCTCAACTAGTAGCATCTCACAAATAAACTTCATATTTACTTGCATCCATCATAGTTCCACAGTTCTTGATAAGTTTTCACAATAGTTCAATTGATTTATCCCCTAAAACCACGTTTTTAAGAAATGAGATGCTAACTTCTCCTACAGCTTGTTAGCATCTCATGGAATTTCACATATATGAGCATAGAGGAAGAAAATCCTGCAGAGTTCTATCCCCTAGGAAAGTTATCTCAATCGTTCTAACGATTAAACCACGTGGGTAACAGTTTTATCATATTGATCAGCATCTCAGCCATACTATAGTGAGATGCTGACATTTAGGGGTGAGTTCCGGCCTCCCTCGTGGGTAAAATCCACAGTTTTGATTAGCCTGCATACCCTCGAAAAGAGTTCTGGCCTCTCATCATCTTTAAACAATTATTAAAAATTATTTATCAGCATCTCAGCTGTATTATAGTGATGGAGCCAGATATTATTACGTCTGTGTCGTTGGTTCTGCGTATCGCTGAGAGCGAGTACAAAATCTGACAACCCCCCCGGTCGAAAAATAGTTCTCAAAAAGTTCTATAGATAATTCTAATGGTGTAAAGCTGAAAAATTAAAACTGAAAGTTCCAGGATTTCGAAGATTCTCTGTAGCAAGTAGGGTACATTTGAAAAAAAAAATAAGAGTTCCGGATAGTTCTCAAAGAGTTCTATCGATAATTCTTATGGTAAAACGCTGAGAAATTAAAATTAAACAAGTTCTGTGACTTCGAAGATTTTGCGTAGCAAGTAAGGTAGATTCGGCCAAAAAAAAAAAGAAGAGTTCCAGGAGTTCTGATGGGAGTTCCTGATAGTTCTCAAAGAGTTCTACAAAACGAATACCTAGATTTGATTAATCCATCCAGTATATGATTTTATATGATTAATTGATTTTTTGAAATACTCATTTCAAAATTATTTTTTGACGAAATTTGGATATGTATTGTACCCAAAACCTATAGGGAACTGTAGAACTCTTTGAGAACTATTCAGAACACTGAAAAAAATACGATTTTCTAAAAGATGGTGGGCTGACGCATTTTTTCAAACTTTATTTTCAAGCGGATAATGATCGGAACTATTGATAAAAAGTACAAAGAACTGTAGAACTATGGTTAATCTATTCGGAACTCCCAAAAAAATTACATTTTTTCAAAAATGGTGGGCGCTGTGAAGTTTGCCCCTCATTTTTTAAAATCGCGATTTTCCATATTTAATCGACAGAACTAGTTCTGAAAACCATCAGGAAATCTAGAACTCTTCTGCGGGCAATCAGAACTACAACTATTTTTTTTAAATGAGCATAATGATGAGCTAACTACACAGAGTTCCCTAAATGTCAGCATCTCACAATACTATGACTGAGATGCTGATAAATAATTTTTAATAATTGTTTAGAGATGATAAGAGGCCAGAACTCTTTTCGAGGGTATGCAGGCTAATCAAAACTGTGGATTTTACCCACGAGGGAGGCCGGATCTCACCCCTAAATGTCAGCATCTCGCTATAGTATGGCTGAGATGCTGATAAATATGATAAAACTGTTACCCACGTGGTTTAATCGTTAGAACGATTGAGATCGTTCTAACGATTAAACCACGTGGGTAACAGTTTTATCATATTGATCAGCATCTCAGCCATACTATAGTGAGATGCTGACATTTAGGGGTGAGTTCCGGCCTCCCTCGTGGGTAAAATCCACAGTTTTGATTAGCCTGCATACCCTCGAAAAGAGTTCTGGCCTCTCATCATCTTTAAACAATTATTAAAAATTATTTATCAGCATCTCAGTCATAGTATTGTGAGATGCTGACATTTAGGGAACTCTGTGTAGTTAGCTCATCATTATGCTCATTTAAAAAAAATAGTTGTAGTTCTGATTGCCCGCAGAAGAGTTCTAGATTTCCTGATGGTTTGTCGTTGGTTCTGCGTATCGCTGAGAGCGAGTACAAAATCTGACAACCCCCCCGGTCGAAAAATAGTTCTCAAAAAGTTCTATAGATAATTCTAATGGTGTAAAGCTGAAAAATTAAAACTGAAAGTTCCAGGATTTCGAAGATTCTCTGTAGCAAGTAGGGTACATTTGAAAAAAAAAATAAGAGTTCCGGATAGTTCTCAAAGAGTTCTATCGATAATTCTTATGGTAAAACGCTGAGAAATTAAAATTAAACAAGTTCTGTGACTTCGAAGATTTTGCGTAGCAAGTAAGGTAGATTCGGCCAAAAAAAAAAAGAAGAGTTCCAGGAGTTCTGATGGGAGTTCCTGATAGTTCTCAAAGAGTTCTACAAAACGAATACCTAGATTTGATTAATCCATCCAGTATATGATTTTATATGATTAATTGATTTTTTGAAATACTCATTTCAAAATTATTTTTTGACGAAATTTGGATATGTATTGTACCCAAAACCTATAGGGAACTGTAGAACTCTTTGAGAACTATTCAGAACACTGAAAAAAATACGATTTTCTAAAAGATGGTGGGCTGACGCATTTTTTCAAACTTTATTTTCAAGCGGATAATGATCGGAACTATTGATAAAAAGTACAAAGAACTGTAGAACTATGGTTAATCTATTCGGAACTCCCAAAAAAATTACATTTTTTCAAAAATGGTGGGCGCTGTGAAGTTTGCCCCTCATTTTTTAAAATCGCGATTTTCCATATTTAATCGACAGAACTAGTTCTGAAAACCATCAGGAAATCTAGAACTCTTCTGCGGGCAATCAGAACTACAACTATTTTTTTTAAATGAGCATAATGATGAGCTAACTACACAGAGTTCCCTAAATGTCAGCATCTCACAATACTATGACTGAGATGCTGATAAATAATTTTTAATAATTGTTTAGAGATGATAAGAGGCCAGAACTCTTTTCGAGGGTATGCAGGCTAATCAAAACTGTGGATTTTACCCACGAGGGAGGCCGGAACTCACCCCTAAATGTCAGCATCTCACTATAGTATGGCTGAGATGCTGATCAATATGATAAAACTGTTACCCACGTGGTTTAATCGTTAGAACGATTGAGATAACTTTCCTAGGGGATAGAACTCTGCAGGATTTTCTTCCTCTATGCTCATATATGTGAAATTCCATGAGATGCTAACAAGCTGTACGAGAAGTTAGCATCTCATTTCTTAAAAACGTGGTTTGTATATGTGAAATTCGATGAGATGCTAACAAGCTGTACGAGAAGTTAGCATCTCATTTCTTAAAAGCGTGGTTTTAGGGGATAAATCAATTGAACTATTGTTAAAACTTATCAAGAACTATGGAACCATGATGGATGCAAGTAAGTATGAAGTTTATTTGTGAGATGCTAATAGTCGAGATGCTAGGTTCACACAGGTTAAAGGAGGTATAGATGAAAAATACAAGGTCTAAGTTATGCATCTGGATGAAAGCAGTAAACTGGCCCACAGGATGAAGTAGGAGTCCGAGTAATAGAAACTGGGTCAAAAGTGGTTGTAGTCGATGCCAAAAGCAGAATACTCGATGCGCCGGGACATCCGGCCACCATTTGGGTAACCAGAAGAGAGGGAGGGGAAAAGAGGAGGTAAAAAGATTACGAGCAAACCGAGAAAAAGTAAATGTGGCCATGTAGTCTATGCGACGTCGCGCCGCACCGAAACAAGAAGGAAAACAAAAAAAGTTTATAAATAAGCGGCAAATAATTTCTCCAATAAAAGTAACGTTATCGTTACACCTTCTGAAGCACAGTCGACTATAGACAGGCTGACCCTGATGCATTCTATTACTCATTGAGCAATTCCACGAGTCATCAGCACAATGCGCTGTATGTAATACATATATCGGCGTACTAAAGGAATTTCACTGAAAAATTATTCCAGCAGAAACAAGGATCTACGTATCTGACAATATTTCCTATGTTATCCCAGTGTTACGTAGCATTAGTGGCTCCCGGAGAATTTACCACTGTATTCTCTCTCTCCCTCGCTCCTGCTATGTATTATGCATCAAGGATTATGCACTAGAAGGAGTCCAGGGTCTTGGGTCGTTAGCGGTGAGAATTAATGCAGCCCAATGGACGATTTATCACGATCCACTTTATCGTCCTGGATTTCAATGCCTTGTGAACTTACAGAAGATTCCATTTAGATCGAATTCTCCGTTTGTGTTCAAGACGTCCGCACTTCTCGACAGGACAAAATACACTTTAGCATTTCATGATGCCGAAGGGTCTTGAAAATTCGTACATCCTAAGCAGTATCCTCATCGTAATTTTTCAATTTC